AGCTTCTGGCGTGGTTCCTGGCCAGGGCTGGCTTCAGGTCTGTCGCAGCGGGAGGTGAGGTTCTCAGGTGGCATTGCTGGGGGCAGTGGATTTTATGGCTTTCCCGTAGTGGAGAGAAACTGGAGTGTACTGGGGAAGGAGGGGATAGGTCTGCTGTGATTAGTGTGCCAGTCTTTCAAAATAAGCTTCTATGACTTCAGACAGACTTTTTCCATCTCTGGAGTGCATCTATTATAGATGTGGCTTATTTGAAAAGCCCTTTATAAGGTGATATAACTACTACATAAAAGGCCCTGGATAATCTATGTATTATTATTATATTTCATAGTTCAGCTGTGTTCTCTGGTTACTTGCACTGTTAGGTCCAGTCCTGACTGAATGTTTCTCAGCTTTAAATAGCCAAAATATTTAACTCTTCTTTTTCGCTTTTAGGCTGCTACATTTTGCACTTATTGAAATGTTCAGGGATTATTTTCTTAGCTCAATAACTTGACATAGTGTCAAACCCTTGCCTTCTCTGTACTGAATGCCATTAAATGTGGAATGCAGACAATTAAAGCACTTTATTTTTATGTAAGAAACAAAACTGTTACTTTAGTATATTGATTTTTAGAAAACAATTTTTTTTCTGTGGTGGAATTAGCCTCTGCTCTGACTCTTTAGTGCTGTAATATTCAACTAGTTCGTACAGTCACTGATTAAAAGTTACTGTACCTTTCAATGATGTTACACAATAGTATCAAGTTATTAAATAACATCTTATGCTGTGTTTTTCCTCTCCTGAGACTCTAACTGAATTTTTACAGTAAATCTGAACTATTATATACTCTGCTGTAGCACTTCTGGATTACAGTTTGAGAATTCTATCTATGCAAAGTCAGGCTTACACTTGGCTCTATAAAATTCTGATAAAGTGAAATGTTGTGTTGCAAACATGCAAAATAGTTCTACCTCTTGAAAACCTCATACCTCAAACTTCCTGCTGTCATTTGGCTCCTGCAACTCGTGCCCCTCCTCCTGGGTCTTCTGAGTACTCGCCTCCTCTTCAGGTATAAGCCATAGGTGGGCTGCTTCTCCATCCCACTGCTCAGCAGGCTGGACTGAAAAAAACTCATTTGTACAGAGCAGTATTTCTCTGATGCTTTACTGATCTGGTGAGTGTGTGAATCCACTGTTTGCAGTTCCTACATATCTATACTGCAGAGATCCTGCTTTTTCCGACTTCATGATTAAATCTTAATTCATGTTGAGGGCTTTCAATCTTATCTTGCCTTCCCATCCTTGGTGACAAAACATCAAGATCCTACACCACCTTAGAAAAGCAGCTGAACACTTGTGCCTTGGTTTTCCTGTTTTAGCTAAAGGCAGTTTGTTTGAGAATATTGAGTTCAGTTAATTGCCATAGGATGTGCCTTCTGAGCCTGGAGACAGGATGCAAATGATACTAGTCATGTACAACCTTTAGTACAGTTTTTGCTCTTTTATTACAACTCTTCATACAGAGCTGCTGAAGAGTGAGTGAGCCCTTCTGCAATACAGCTCACATAGGATTTCTGGTAGTTAGTTTTTTTCAGAATGCCTTAGTATAATGCACTGCCTCAGGCACCCTTCATTCTTTCCTCTTAGCTTTCTACCAGCTGACATCAAAGTAGCATGCAAAATATCTATTGAACTGTCAGTCTTTTGCCTCTATTTTTGTTGTTCTTCCTGCTGTTATTTCAAGCTCTGGTAATGCAGTGTGCTGGAGGCGATGGGGGTTAATAGGGTGATTACCTCAGCAAGAATGGTATTTTAGCTGTTGCAAAGCGAAGTGTTGTTTGGATATCTTCCCCTGAATCAAGGCTGTTTGCTCTTTCAGCTGCTAGGTGCAGATCTAAAACCTATTATGCTCCACCCTGTCTCCCTGAAGCTTACATGTGTGGCCTGAAGAAACCCCAAGTGTGCAGAGTTTACCACTTATAAAAAATAAGTTGTCTTCAATGCAATAAGGTGACATAAAGGATGAAGTGTCTCCTGCTGTATTTAAGAGTTTGTGCTAGCTAGATAATAGATTCAGTAGTGGGAATTGATTTTATAATATGAAAAGAAAGCCTTTTGGGGTAGTAGGTGCCACGCTATTCCTGATTTTATTTCTTTTCCCTTTTTGAAAGGGGAAAGACCACAGAGGTGAGGGATCAGCTAAGCAAAAGGTTAACCACAACGAGGGTTATATCTGAAATATGCTGTGTTGCATGCACTGTAAGTAAGCTCTGTGCTCCAGAGATGAAGAGAATTTGGTCAGTAATAACAGAACTAACTTGTCCTCTTCCATGTTTGAAAAATTACCTGCTCTTTAGCAATCCTGCTAATGTTACAAGAATTCATTAAACTGCACTCTCAAAGCTGCTGACCTAAGCATCCTGCTTAGAGTAGGAAAATTGGAAAAAAAAAAGGGGTAAATAAAAGTTTTGTGATTTGTGGGGAAAGGTGCCAGGGAACAAAACAACAGATAACAGATGCACATATCTCATTGCTTTGCAGTGAGAGGGAGGAGTAACAAGATATTCTGGAGTCAAAGGAAGATAAACCAGTATACCAGCAATTTTAACTTTTGGGTTGGATTACAAATGAGTTGGAATTCTCTTGCCTAACATCTGAGCAGGCAAAGGGGCACCTGCCCATCCCAAAAAGCCTCAGTACTATAAATGAGAAGCTGTGCTTGAAGAAAGTCTTCAGACACATAAAGAAACAAATGCTGGCTGGTGAAGGAGAAATCCAGGAGTTCTCCTAGCTTCACAAACACCTGAAGAAGACTTGGTGAGGCAGGCAGAGCGAAAAGTATGTTTCCTGCATCCCCTCTGGTTTTCCAGCTCCCTGCTGTTTCTGGTGCAAAGACTACATTACAGTGGGCGACTTCTGTAAACAGCCTGATTTTTGTAAATATCGGCAGGGAAAAGTAAAGAGCTGTGTTCCAGCTGCTCTGACCTGGCCCTGTGCCTGCTTTTGGTCTGCATGGACTCACAGGCTTCTCTGAGAACTGCCAGATGTGACAATAGTAAGTGACTCTGCCTTATCTCTGAGCACCAAATGAGAGTAGGGACTTGCTAACTGAGCTGCTTCAAAACGTAGGTTTTGAACAGTTAATCTTTGTGTTTCTGTTGCTGTGCTTCATTTAACAATAAACTGCAATATCAGTATATAGTTTTAACTGGTGTGGACTTTGTGTGTGATTTTGAGGGCCCTTCACTGAGCTCAGATGCTATCAATTCCCAGGTATATTTTATTTGCACAGTGCACAGTAGCTATTTTGAAATACGGCTTGTGCTTCTGCTGAATTCTTTTTAACCAGACCTGCAGGTAAGAGGTGTATGCTGCCTTCCCCTTCCAGAGCTTGAGTGCTGGCTCTGCAGAGAGTTACTGAGTATGTTTGTGTACAAAGTATACACCAGGTGTAGAGTCACCTGGTGGTCCATCTCAGTAAAAGTTAACAGCAAGGGACAGCACTGTGATGAGGAAGGATCCTGATTCTTAGTCTGGTTCATTCTTCAGCAAACCTAGGCTCCATCCAGGCCTGGTTAATCTCTCCTGAAACCTGCTTAGAGCAAAGTGTGCAGGCTTGAGGTGGTGCCCCGGTGGTCCACCTCAGTAAAAGTTAACAGCAGGATCTTTCTGATGTTTTTATTAACCAGAAGGGACAGCACTGTGATGAGGAAGGATCCTGACTCTTAGTGTGGTTCATTCTTCAGCAAACCTAGGCTCCATCCAGGCCTGGTTAATCTCTCCTGAAACCTGCTTAGAGCAAAGTGTGCAGGCTTGAGGTGGTGCCCCTCGGTGTGTCTGTTTGACAGTAGGGTCTGACAGGCCTAGATCCCTCAAGCACAGAGGTCCCAAGGCAGTGTCTCACCCTTTGCTATGGCCATATTGCTGTGCTCTGTCATATTGCCCCAGCCACCCCCTTAAAAACAAGGGAACTTCTTTGGCAGTCTTCTCTAGGTTTTCTTCCTTAAAAGCATGAAGAGCCTGGCAGCAGAGCTCATGAAGGAGAGTATCTCAAATAGTGTTGGAGGCTTTGTTACTAAAGGGACTGGGAAGCTGGGAGTCAGATGAGTTCTGTGGGTGAAGAGTGATAGATGTCTGTTAAACACCATCTGACAGGTCTGTGACTAACTGGGAAATATACAGTTGCTCTGATCAAATAACATCTTTTACATCTATACTTTTACATGTCATGATTAGCCAAAAGCTTGGATAGATAATCCAGAACATGAAGGCAAAAATAGTGTTCTACATGCAAGAACTGAAAATTGCGTTTTCTTGACCACAGTTTTCTAGCTGCCAGCCACGATTAGATTTGAAAATCTTTCTGCTTGTTGCAACAACTTCTGTTTAATGCTGTATGTAACTTAATAAGCCAATATCACAAGTGTGTAAGGCCCCTTACAGAGGATTGTTAGCATGAGTTCTAGGGCTTTGCCTGTAGCTTCCCAGATGCCACAGCCTTGAAGTTGTTTGATGTTCCAGTCTTATTTTGTAAATAGTATTGCTGCACCCAGGAGCAGCTTCTTCAGTAATGCTTATCTGTAGTCACTGGAATTCAGTGCTTCTTGTTTATAGACACACTGGACCAGGGGACAAGAGGAAGGGTCTGAAGATAGTATTATCTGTTTGGATGGCTTTAACAGCTGTTTGATAGCCAAGTAATTTAAAGACTACTGAAGAGGAGGGTAGGCAGATTTAAGTGATTCAGTTACAGCAATTGTAAAGATTTGTCAGGCTCTTCTGTAGAACACGGCTTAAACACAATCTTTCTATAGGTTCAATGAAGGCTGTAACTGTCCAAATGGTGTCTTGTTAATCTCCTTTTCCTAGTTGCCTGACTTTGTTTATTCAGACCAGGGAGATGTCATGTGTTTCTAAATATTTAAGTTAGAGGTAGATAAACAGACTTTTAAGACAAGTATAAAATATGAATACGTGGATAAAAATGTGTGTGCATCTAACTGCCTCTCTCTTCATTCAAGTTGCAGGAGTTATTACGGCTGACTTTCTATCAGGATTGTTTCACTGGGGAGCAGATACCTGGGGATCTGTGGAGCTACCCATAGTTGGAAAGGTTTGAGATTCTTATCTTTAAACTTGAAAAAGTTGTGAAATAATCTTCCAAAACACTTCCAGTGTTCCCAGCTATGTTGGGCAGTGTATTTAAGCTGTATCTGTCTTGTAGCCTTGCCAATGTAACCAGCTCCCCACCCCCAGGACCCTCCTCCACTCGAAGGCCTAGGTGACATGTTCAGGGTGACATTGTTCCATTTTATCACCTTGTTTGCACACAGTTTTGCAATAGCACTGTTCACAGACCTTCCCCGGGTACGGCCCATGGTGCCACAAGCAAAGAAACCGGGCTAGACTGGTGTAGATGTTTCAAGAGGCCAATAAACACAAAAGAGATGGAGAGCTGTTCCTGTAGCTGAATTTTCTTAAAGCTGTCTTGTGAAACATGAAGATGGTCCCGTAAGAAATCTTTCCAGTTCTCTCTTCTACTGGTCTCTGTTCTAAAAGTAATAGTATTAGAATGGTGATGACTGCAGATTTTGATCTGAGGTGTATTACACTTCTGCAGCTGCAAATGGCAGGTCCTTAGTGGAAGGTGCACTGACTTCTGTAACAAGCAATAATCTGTTTTTTAAAAATAAACTTCTTCATAGCTACCATTAATTACTCCTCATAGTACAATATTAGAAGGATCTCTATTAATAAAAAAAGTGGGATATCCCATATCATTATCCAGAAATATATGGAGAACAGCAAATTAAGACTGTTGGTTTCAGATTTGTTTGCCTTCAATAGACTGTTTTCCTCAAATCCCTGTTTGTCTGAACCATAGTTCAAGGGGGAAAAAAAAAGGCATTGCGGGAGACTATGCACTAAATAAACAAGAGTTCAGGCTGGCCAGGACACCTTTGCATAGACTGTACAGGACGTATGTGTTAAGGCAAATGAGTAACTTGCTTTGCTGTTCCAGTCCTATGTATCACATTTGCTCTGCCTCCCCTTGGGCTGTGCATTTAGATGTGATTTCTACTCCTAGAGGAGACTTGTCCATAATCTGTTTGACCTGCACTGGCTTGCCTAATCATTTAACTTGCATTTGGTCTGTTAATACTGTTATCTGTAGCCCATATGAAATGTTAGGCTGAATTTTTTTTTTTTTTTGTTACTGTTTTCTTGGTTTATGCTGCTTAGCAAATGATTTACCTCTGTGAATTTCACAGGCTTATTTTGTCTGAAATTAGGCTACTGAAGTTTTGGGTTTAAGATCTAGAGGTCCTGAGTGAAAATTATGAAGAATAAAACTGGAAAGCAATGAAAAACTGGATTTGAGTCTGGGAATGGAATTGGTTTCCAAATGTAAATAAAATTATCTGAAGTACTGTCATCACAAAAGTTTGAATACTGCTTATGTGCTTCATACTATACAACCCTCTTAAACTCAGTGATCAGATTTGAATGCACGTGAGATGTTGGGGGGAATGTATTGTATTTTTTCTTTCTAAGATCGTTATCGAGTCATGGTGCCATGTTTATGCATTTGTTCTTTTCAGGCTTTCATCAGACCCTTTAGAGAACATCACATTGACCCCACAGCTATCACCAGACATGATTTTATAGAGACCAATGGAGACAACTGCTTTATGACACTAGTCCCATTGGCAAACATGGCATACAAATTTGTTTCTTTTTCCCCAGGTAAGCTGGTACTTCTGACTTTTGTGCATTTTACCATTTCTGTTAAGACTTGAATGAACCTTTGTCTGCATAAATCTAGGAGAAATTAATGAATGCAAGATGACGAGTCATAGCTGTTGGAAGCATGATTCTCCTGGGAGGAGAGAGGGGAAACTTTTTTTCTCGAAGGTGGGGCAACTAGAAGTAGGACAGTTAGATTCTTTAGTCAACAGAGAATTTGTAGCTGGAGAGTCTTGCAAGGAAGCATTACAAGTTACAGTAAATACTCATTTTATAAGAGGGATCAGACTGTGTGCCTATAGGGATACTCATTGCTCCCAAGTGTGTAGAAATGCTTCATGCCTGTATAGAAGTACTTTATTTGCAAAGCAGAAGTGGAAGAATTAAAGGATTAATTTAATTTTATAGCTGGTAAGCTCAGGGTTTAACTTCCTGTTTGTGGTGCGTTGGCAGATGCTGGCACAGCCTGTCTTGTGACACTCTGGAACTGCTTATGGCTCGCTGGCTCTCGTGGTGCTTCTGCCAAAGCAGCTTCGCTGAGCCCTGTGTTAGGTCTGGCAGCATCAGACAGATCTGTCTGGGCAAGACACCGTTTTCCTGGCAGTAATTTGCCTTTTTTTGGATGATGTTTTAAGATACACTTCTTGTTTTGCAGAGGCATTACACGAAACATGTCCTTGGGAGTGTTACGTCTTTGCGCTTATCATCTTCATTACCATGACAAACCAGATTCACAAGTGGTCTCACACATACTTTGGTCTTCCACGCTGGGTCATATTTCTACAGGACTGGCACGTTATCCTGCCACGGAAGCATCACAGGATCCACCACGTGTCTCCACACGAGACCTATTTCTGCATCACAACTGGTACTGCTCTCTGGTTCATGCAGCAGCTCTGTTTAGTATCCTAGTGCAATTTGCCTGGCAAGATGTAATTTAGTGACAACCTATTAAATACCTAGAAAATTACATGAAGTGAACTGTGCTATTAGCTGCACAAACTCCTAGCAAAACTATAGTTTTTGGTGCATAAAAAATGCAGGGGGGGGATTCATGATTAGCTAAAGGTGACTTTCAGCCTGACAGGATAGTCAGTGGTACTGAGACCCAATTTTGTGATTTCTTGTTAATCTCATGCTGGTAATGGCTTTTGTTAAAGTCCTAGAGCTGTTGATGCTTCAAAAGAACAGTCATCTGCAAGTGCAGCTTACCTTGGATGATCATTTCTAAAGCAAGGCGTCTGGATCTTCAGCATTCATTTGTTCTGATTTGGAGGAGAGGAGTGGACAAACATGCAGAAAAGTGGCTTTAGGTTCCTTTTATATCTATATTCAATTTTATGCCCACTGTACACACGGGTGTATTCAATCACCAGTGTTGCACAATCCTGGGGATGTTATCGAGTTAATCAGACAGCTGGAAATAAACCACTCCAGTTCTTCATTCTGTCATTGGCTTTGAAAAACAGTTCATATCAGTTTTGGAATCTCTGCCGAGGAACAAACCTAGTTCTCATGACCAGAATGTCATGTAAAAGCATGGTACCATTAAGAAGCCTGACTTGACAGATGAAGGCATAAGTTTTGCCACAGTTAAAGGCTTTTTTTTCTGTCCTATCATGTCCTAAAATTTGAAACTGGCCATTATTAGCAGTTTTGGGCCAGTTGTTGTTTGGTTTTGTTTTTTTTTTTAATAAGAGGGGGGGGGAAAAAAAAAAGAGAGTATGTGCTTCTGTTCACTCCTTGCTCGCTGTAAGTGTTCATGCCATACTAGTCTGACAAAACACAACATGATAGATTCTCTACTGGGATTTTCCAGTGAAGTAAAGTGTTTCTGCAGCCCTAATTCTTTTGGGGTAGAAGGGAGGAGGAGGAAGACAGAAATATGCAGTCCATGCACTATTTAAAAGGGACCTTTACTGAGTAAAATAGAACTAGTTATTGTAGTGCACTTGTTAGTGACTTGACTGAAGAGTAGACAGCCAAGTCCAAAGAGTGCACTTGATTTCAGAGCTGACCTGTGTACGGAAGGTCTGGCAGTGTCCTCATCAGGGAAGGTGTCAGATAACAGCTTTCTGGCATTCCCAGCATGGAAGCTTTTGGACTGACTGCCATTTTTAGACAGCAGGAAGGGCTCTTCCATTCCTTGGGGGGTGATGGCTGTGTTAATGAGAACTGCATGGGCTGACTTTGTAAAGGGCATCAGTGTACAGTGGGCTGAGTGGAGCTGCAGGTGAGCTGGGAAAGGTCATGACCAACTGTGCAAGGTGGCTGAAAGCAGTGTCAGTTGTGCTACACTGTAAAGCTGGAGTTGTGTCAGATGAGGAACAACCTAGCTCTGGAGAAAGATGACATTTTGCAACAGTGAATGTCCTGAACGTTCTCTCTCCCTCTAGTATTTCTGTCTTGTAGTAGCTATACATATACCCTAGGACCCTGCCAGCAAGAAGAACTGTTTTCCCTCTGCTGGCTGTCACCACTGCAGGGATGGCAGCAGGACCAGGCAGAGCTGGTTCTGTGGCAGCTCCCCCAGGTTCCAGCCTCGCTTGGCTGTGCTGTGCTGCCTCTCAGCTCTTCCCTCTAACACGAACCGCTGCTGCCAGCTCACTGTTTCCATTGTGGTAACAGCTTCTTCCTTCCTGCCTCTCCTTTGGTTTTGTTTTCTTATGCTTTTTTCACTGTTCTAGAAATGTCCACAGAGTAAAGTATAAGGTGTGCTTACTGAGCAGTTCTGGAAGTGTGGCATAACAGACATAACCCTGTGGACAGCCATCTCCTCCTGCTTGTAGGAGAATTTACAAGGGGAAGTAACATTTCCCAGTGCCAATTTCTTCTAGATTTCCTAGTTTTACAACAGTTAATAAAGCACCAGCCTAAAATTACAATGTATATAATGGATACCATGTATATAGCACAATGTATACAACTTCTGTGTGGATACAATGTATAAAATACATTGTGTAGACTGTGTATTTGTGGATACAATGTATACAATACATTGTAATAAAAACTTACAACATTGCCTTTTTGTGCACTCTCCTGTCAATTCTGTGTAGTTAGGCTGGCATCAAAATACAGTATCAGAAAATGAAGTTACTATACTAATAATTATCCTAGAAGTGAGACGAAGTCTTTCTGAGTTCAGGGTGAGGCCTGTGTGAGTTCTAGCCTCACAGCCTGTACAGTGCAATGTAGCTACAAATCGCCCAGTCCTAAATCTGTAGGCTGGGAAGGATGCAGTAAAGTCCTGTTGCATGCAGAATGTGACGACACTTACTGCCCTTCTCACATAGAGTGGTAAAAGCCAGACCCATGCCAACCTGTTCCAGTCTTCCTGGTCACTGGCAGCAGAAGCATTCCGTTAGGTCACCTGCTCAGCTTTGGGAGTGTGCTGCAAGCAGTGCTGCCATTTTAGTCCAGAATGTGTCCAGCATCAGCTACCGTTAGATGCAGCATCATACGGCGTCATTTCCCTGCCACAGGCTTCACTAGCAACCAGTTATGCAAACTTTAATTTTGCCCAGGGAGAGCATAACACATGTAAGTACTTTGTAAAAGAAATCTGATGTTGGAACTATCTAAACTTGAGGCTTTAAGATTTTTAAAAAAAAAAAAATAAGAAAAATCTTAGTCTACTTTGAACTTTAGTTAGTGGTGCTTAGGTCCCAAACAGAAATCTTGATTTTAAAAAAAAAAAAAAATTCTTTTAATAATTTCCTTTTTTTTTTTTTTTTTCTGGAAACCAAGACATTGATAAATATTTGAGATTTCAGAGTCATGTTGTATTTACTTTCTTGTACTAGCTTATGAGAAACAGGGAAAAGCCAAGCTCTCTTTGTTGATGGGGAAACTAATTGGGAGGAAGACAGCTAAAGATGTAGGGTTGGGTTTTCTGTTTGGTTGCTTTAATTTCAAGACTAAATCTCAGGTGCTACTAATACAGATATGTTGCTTCTAACACAATTCAATTTAATGATCCCTTTTCTGATAGCTTTGCAATGGGCATAGTCAACCTCTGAACTCCCATTATTCTTGCCTTACAAATGTTATGAAATAAACATTGCGTTACGTTGTACTTTGGATGCTATGACAAATTAACCCCCTTTTTTTTTTTCCCCTTTGCAATCACTTAGGTTGGCTGAACTATCCGTTAGAGAAGATAAGATTCTGGAGATGTTTGGAGAACATTATCCAAGGAATTACTGGGGAGAAGCCAAGAGCAGATGACATGAAATGGGCCCAGAAAATTAAATAACTTTTGCCAGCCTTCTGCAATCCTTAACTTGTTGCCAATGTTTGGTTTTTTGTTTTGTGTTTTTTTTTTTTTTTTTTTTAAAAAAAGCCATCAGCCAAAATCAAGACCTGCAAAGAAATAACTGACTCTAAAGCACAAACTAAAAAGTGCTAACGCAGACTGTAATGAAAAGAACTAATTCTTAAAACAATACTTGAAATGAAGATGATTACTCTTGCTGAGCACCTTTTTGTTTAGCCATGTGTGCTTACATCTTAGAACATACTTCATTGCTGGGTTCCATAAGGCTATCGGGCAGGCCAGAAGGCAGGACACTCACTCCATTGGGACATGGTGGCGTAGTAAACATGTGTTGTATCAACATTCTTTAACACTTCACAAATAGCTTGTTGCCTAAGACTTATAGGGAGAATGGTGACAGCAGTTTCTCACTTCCTGTTTTGAGTCCAAATACACTGCATGAAAACAGTGTATCAGAGTAATGGAAGCCTATAAAATCATTACTGTTCAATGCACTTAGTGATTGATAAACTTACAGCTCTATCTTTGCTGTCATGTTAGATCTAGTTGATGTAATGTGGAACAGACTTGGAGAATCCCACTCCACCAGTGGGCCACGAATCCTCAAGTGTCTTCAGTTTCCCTTAAAATAAAATTGTTCTACTCTCTACGTGGAATTAAACAAACCATTTCTGCATAAGCCTTCAACTTAAGCCTCTGAGGAAAGGGAGGGCACCCAGTACAACACACAGTCATGTTTGTTCATGTGGAGTGCTCACTGATGAGTTTTCTATTAAGTATGTCCTACCCTGACAATAAATGTTTAAAATAGTTCTAGCATCGAGCACATTGCAAATAGCTGTATTCAAGAGCTCAAGGTATCAAACTTGTAATGTTAGAAGGGAAATGTCAATGACTGGTGTTTTGGTTTGGGTTTTTTTGTGTTTCTTTTTTTTTTTTAAGGTGCTTGCTTGTTTCTGTAAATAATATAAAGCCTTAATATCTTCTGGTGTAATGGAATAATATTTTAATGTGATGTTTGAATGTATATAATATATTTATAACAAAGCAGTTGGATAATACTAATCATGTTTGTTAAGTTTTGTTGCTGTTCTTCATTGCTGTATTGTCAGCACTTAGTCCAAGAACTCAGTCACTGATTGCAAAACTGTTCATGCTGTTTGAGCCACCTGAAACACTGTGCTGCCTGTTAGGTCATGTTTAGGTTGAAGTGATCAATTGTTTGACACTATACTGCACCAGAATTCAACGTCCTTCAAGATGTGCAGATTTTGCTTTGGATGTAAAGGGTTAACTGCTGGACTGGGGCTGTGGAGAAGTTCTCCTAACAACATCCTACATGCACCTTATCAAGTTCATGTGATTTGCATCTGGTTTAATTCTTTCCTAAATGAAGGCTTACTGTTGGTCAAAGACTATTTTCTATTCGTAAGTTGTAAATGGTGTTGAACTCAACCTGTCTTTTCCTGAAGAGCATGGTAAGGTGGCTTTGAGTCCTAAGTTTAGACTTACCATGATCTCAACTTCTTCAGATAGGATGGACCACAGCTTCTGAAAGGGTTGGGACTTGGCAACTCTCTTTCAGCAGAAACTGCAGAATGCAGACGTGTCTGAGCTGGGTTCTGCAGATTAAAATCATAACTGGTATCTTGATTACAAAATACTTAATGTGTTTAAACGATTCAGGCCTTTGGAGAACCTTATATCACTCCATGAAATATTGTCTATTCTAGCTGTCACAGCCAACATCAGGTCTGTAGCTTTGACAGTAAAGAATACTTGCACTTTAGTAGGAATCTCCAAATGCATTTTGTTGAAACTGGAGGAAGAGGACGGAATAGTCCTTTAATGCTGTTATTGTAGAGACAGATGTGTGATTTCATGCTATCTTTGGTGAAAAGAACAGATTTCCCCCTTTCTCTTTCACCCATGCCATCAAAAGCCTTGGCAAAGAAGACTACGTATAAGAACACAGAGCACCAGGGGAGCAGCCAGGATGTTGGAGACTTGATTGGAAAGACTGTTGCAAACTGGCAGGTTCTTTGTTAATTGCTCTTCCAGATCTGGATGTTTAAGTGGTGTGTTTCTGTGCCAAACCTGTTGGTGCAAAGTTGTTCCTGGAAGTAGTTCTAGCTCTACTTGTTTTAATTTCCAGGTGCTGGATGTTCAGCTTTATATATAAAAAAATTGAGATATGAATATAAATTTATGTGGGAAGAAAGGCAATGTCTGCTATCGTGGAAGTCAGTGTGGTGATTATTACTCTGAATCCATGAAGTTAGACCTGTTAATATCGGCTATGTATGGCTGAAACTTATTTTAAATTTCTTTGGTGTAATAGGTGTTGAACTGAGCATATGCTGAATGCTGGTGAAGTGAGGATGCAAACTACCATGTGTCCAGAGCAAAGAATGCTTCTCCATCCTTTCTTGTCTTCCAGTGTATCCCCTGCAGTTCTAGAGGTGTAGGAATGCTCACGAGACAACGTCTGTTGCTGTCAGTACCAAAGAGCTACAGAATTTATTTCTGCCATCTTGACCAAAGTTTAAATTCACGCCTGCTTCTACCCTGAGACTCCTATAATCTATATTCTAACAGATTTGTAGTCCTTGGTTGTCTGTCCCTCCTGCCCTCATCTCTTTCTTCTCCTTTCCAACACCCTTGACTCCAGTTTAAGTAAACCATTGTCAAAGACCAGCACAAAACTGGGCAGGTACTTGTGACTCCTGCATAAAACCACCCGAAGAACTGAGTCCTTTGAGAGCTCATCTCTTCCTGCAGGTTGAAATGCCAGGTGAACAGCAGTGGTGCAGTGTGGATAACAAATTGATTTGAAGCACAGAAATTATTAGACTTGAACTTCAAGAATGCTGTTAAAGGCAATTGCGGTTGCCCAAATCTCTCTCAGCCACTTGATCTAGAGTCTTATTGGAAACAAATCTGAGCTACTAATACTGGTGGCTGCTGGGACTGCTCTGTTAATCTTGCTTAATTAGGAGAAACTGGGACAGCAGTTAATCTCTGGATGCTGTTTTACATGCTGATGCTGTGCCCGTCTCCCAGGGCAGCTCTCGCTCCTGGTGACACAATGCACTTGACATGGCTGGCACCTCCCGGGGTCCCCTGGAAGCATCACTGTTCAGGAGGCAGTGGTGAGGGGCACGGCCTCTGAGCAAGTTCTGGTTTTATAATCCTTCATCTTTCCCTCCCTGCTTTGATTTGAGGTGTATCTCTAAGCTTTCTACTCCTTGGAGAAGGGTTGATGAATACCCATGTGAATTGGCTTGTTCCTCGGTCTTCAGTGGGTTTCTGGAAACTGTGCCACTCATTTAAAGTAGTGGATGCTTCTGTAAAATCAATATGGCATCTCTGGAGCAAAAGGCTATGTGGATCCTTCTTAACAGATGTAAATCTGGCTTAAGACAAATTTTTCTTAAGTTGATTAGGAGCAGCTTAGAGCTAAAGCAGAATAAGGCACTCCTTTTGAACTCCCCAGAGCTGGCCGGCATTTCAGTCCAACCAAATGCTTTTAAAAGCTGTTTGATTTCAGACTCTCACCTCTACAGAAAGACGTGGTCAGTCGCCTGCTCCCTGGACCTTCAGGAGGAGGTCTTTCACACCTTCAGCTGCTGCCAAGTCTGTCGTTGTGCTTCAGTGAACGGGCTACTCGTGGTCATGTGAGGGTCTAGCAGGGGCAGATGTGTTTCATTACACGTATCTGCGGTGTTGCAGAGGTGCTGCAGGCAGAGCTGTTTGGGGACACATCTGCAAGGGGAAGTGCTGCACAGTGGTGGCCAGAGGAAAATCACTAAGCGCCTTAAAATCCTGCTTGGCCTCTTCTTAAGCCAGTATTTGGGACAGCCTGATGGGCTCAGGTTTGGTGCTTGATTTCAAGTTCCCACGGATGCATTTCGAAATGCTCAGCTTTCTGTCATCTCTTGACTTCTCCAATTTTGTTTCATTTTGCTGCTGGATCAAGTCGTCAGTGCTCTCTCCACTCATCTGCAGCCTCAACCTGTCCTGACAAATGAGGAGAAACCCTGCTCAGAGCTAGTGAGGCAGTCCTGCCATACAAAGCCAGCGGTTCCTCCTTTCACCAGCCTACAGACCACAAGTGCATTGGCAGAGCTATGTCTTCCTGCAATGTTTTTGTTCTGCACTATTTAAAAAAGGGAAAAAAAAATAAAGCTCGAGAATGGGTTGGGCCCCCAGCTGTTTGCACAAGACAGCAGGGCCAGTGTCAGCAGACTTGCCTACATGAGATGGGGCCAGATGAGGTTTTTGGCTCAGGTGCAGTGTCTGTCTGTCTGTGGTTCTGCAGCTTAACCAGCAGCAGGTGTGACAAGTGGAAGGGGAGCTCTGGTTAGTGGGGGATTCTGGCTGCTTGATGACGAACTTCTTTGTCGTGGTGAGCTGGGCAGCAGCAGCACCAGGGCCTCTCCTGTGGGCTCGTTCCCATCTCCTGGCCAGGTCCTCTGAGCTCTTATGCCACCTAGCTGCGTTACTTCTCTCTTCAGCCAGCACTGCTCTCAGCCATGTCGAAAATATGGTAGTAGGATGAAATAAAATCCACCCAGTAAAACCACCCCTGCTGTTTCAAAGTAGCTTCAGGGAATAATTGCTAGGAGCAGTACTTTGGCTGTGTTTACTGTGGAAATCAGAGTATGTTAAAGTTGACTTACCAGAGTAAATGGCTTAAAATGCAACAGGTCTCCCTTTTGCTTTGTCATTGTTTTAGCCAATTTTCAGATGGTGTCTTAGGGCACAGTTTTTCTACTATGCGTTGCAAGAAAAAACGGAATTAATTTCCCTCTTTTTTTTCTTCCCCCCCCACCCCTTACAGCTCTATTAACTGGAGGGGGCCAAGGGCAGATGTGCTTTTGATTAAAACACAGTTTTAAGGAACTGTGACTAAGGAACACTCGCTGATGTCCCTTATGCCTCTTCTGGCTATGCAGCTTTTATGTTCATGTCAGCTAGAAAATTTTTCATTGCCATGTGTGGGACAGCAGCAACCTCCTGACAGCCT